ACAGGGACTGACCGCTTCCACATACCATGACTGGCTTTGCTGAACCACAGTCCCATCTGCTGCAAAGAAAAGGACGTGAGGCAAATTTTTACCAAGCCACCATCCTCTCTGGCATCCAGCCTAGTACATGAAGGAGAATAAAGTTTATTAACTAATCAGTATTAAAAAGAGATGAAATGGCAAACACCAAAACATCAAACCACCCTATCAAACGGCTAGAAGGGTTCTAAGTCAGCAGGCAATTTCAAGCTGGGGTTTGTATCTGGGTTTTGGTTGGGTTCTGAAGGATCAGAAAAAAACAAAGAAACAGGTATGGAGAGCCAAACAAGCTCCCAAGACACAGGAGAAGTTACAAGCATGTAGTAGACTAGGAAACAGGAGAAAAAGCTACTCAAACGGAAAACAGATTAAAGTCTGTTTAATTGATTGTCTGTGTATCAGGTTCAACCTAGCTGGGAGAAAGTCACCAAACTGGAGAGCAAATTTCACTGCTATTTTTAGTAGAAATATCTGAATTTGCAATATTCCTGATGGGTCTACCCCACATATACTAAAAATTGCCAAAAGCTAAACTATGGCAGTCCTGGGGTAACGGTTGGACTTGATGATCTTAAAGGTCTTTTCCAACCTAGTTGATTCCATGAGAACCAGACAGCCACTTGTTCACCTATTCTGAAGTCCAAGGGCTTATACCCAGGCTCCTGCACTGGACCCTACACGCTTGAAAGACCAGCCAGAAAAACCAACCAGCAGGCCATGCCCTAAAACCTTAGCTGAAATTACAGTTCAGCTAATGCCTTCAGTCACAGCTCTGTGTGCCAGCTGACAGATCACTGTCAGAAATGGCTTGGTCAAATGCTTTTGTAACCTGGAGCTTTAATAACTGCTCAGAAACTGGGCTGATTCCCTGTCTTTTAGGGTCTCCAAGTGAAACAGCAGATGTACGCAGTAAATTTTCAGGGAGGACAGCTTTCTAAGCACAGAGCTGGGTGTCAAAGTTCACTTTTATTGACTATATTTTAAGAAGAAATGTTTTGTTTCCCAGCCTTATAAAGGGGGGAAAGTCCTCCTCCAGCTTCACACAAGATTTCAGCTCTGTCCAGGCAGCAGACTGGGTCCCACTGGATGGAAACGGCCCAGATGCAGCGGTGATGCAGCCATCAAGACTTCTTTAGTGTTTGCCCAACTTCCAAACCCACGCTCAGGCAGGCTTTGGGACAGGTACACTTTCCCAAACAGCACTGAAGACTTGTTGGAGGGAGTCATAACAGTCACTGTGCTGGTCAGAATGGCTTGCCTTAATTGTGTGATTTAATTAGCAGATCAACACTTCACTATACCATTTTCAGATTTACTTTCATCACGTTCCCTACTCAGTGGTTGTTAATAAAGTCTTAATTAAAAGAGAAAAGAAACCATCCAATTTAATTGGAGTGACCCTTGTCAATACGTGCAGAAGACCTGATACTATACAGCCAGTATCAAATATATTGAGTCTATCTCTCTACTGGAATGGACTTTGTAGCTCACTATTTGCTAGCTAAGAAATAGATTTTTATATAAGCCATATTTTATTATCCTTTACTTATGTTCCTTATCGCTCAGTAAAATATATTAATCTCAACATTAAAGATTTTATTTGTAGCTGTTAATGAGAACAAATAGATCAACTTTTAATCTCAGAACTGCATCACCCATAGCTGCCCACTGAATCTAAAGCATTTCTGGTCTCAAGCAAAAGTAAGAAGCACCATCAATATATCAGAGACTCTTTTCAGGGGGTTTTAACACATAAATCCTGAGGACAGCTCCAGGAATGGTTGGTGCCATTTGGGACTCACTGCAATACCTCTTTAATTTCAGGGTGAAATTTGAAATGCTCAAACACACAAAGCAAAGTGACGCAGATCACCATACCCTACACCTCGGACCCATTGCTGGGTGCGTGCCGAAAGGCTATGAGAGCCTGGCTGCCTCCAGTTTCATGAAGAGTAACACCTCAACCAGCTCATCACCAGTTCTTCCCAAGCACAAGAGTCATAGGAATTGGTACATGCCCTCCCATTTAACTTAAGCAAAACCCCGAAAGAGACCCTTTTCCATCCTTTTGCCTTGAAATCCACCTGGGCAGTAACACTTGAGTGACAATTTGACTCCGGTGCTGCACAAGGGAACTTCAGTTCCTGCTCCTGACAGATTGGAAGAGCTCTCCCCTTCCCGCACAAACCTGCTCAGACATTAGTGGCTCTCTATACAACTCTTCCAATGCACACAGACAGCTTTAGCAGCTAACTAGTGCACTACGAATCCTAAGAAGCCCAGAAATTCCCTTTTTCCCCGTACACCGTATGCAGACAGACACACACAAACCAGCCACAGGAGACACGCCGGTTATCTGAAGTTTTTAAAAGCAAAACTCTCCTGTTTCAGTTGGTCTGCTCTCTAAGAAAACAGCCAGCGTTACTTGACATGCACAAATCGTACCAAGTAATATCTTTATCTGAATACTAATGCAAATTGGACGGGCTTTTTTATATTGATGTCTATTCTGTGGCTGCTGAATAGAGTGACCGCATGCTCAAGGCTGCAAAGGAGTTCACTGACCTCCCTAATCATCTCTGTCATAGCCCCTGAATGACATACACATTCAATCCTGCCTCGCCTCTCTACTTTCATTCATAAAAAAGAGAAAAAAGGGGGGTGTGGGGGGGAAATTTGACATTGTTCTTCCTGCAGCAGCCCCGAGAAAGGGAGAGAAGAGAAACTCAGCCCAGATGAGGCCCCTGGTGTTTTTAGTTTAGCTTCTATTCAGCAACAGCCCCGCCATCTGCCTCCTTCCTGCCAACAGCCGAACACCTCCCTGCGGAGATGTTAAAACCTGCACCCCCTCCACCTCCGCTAATAGCGAGTATTCATATTAGCAAACATACACATACCTCCAGAATGCCTCCCTTCAATGTGTGTTTTATGTAGCTGAGTATAGGCACAAAGCAGTAGCTGTTATAGCCTTCACAGCCCCGTGTGGAGAATTAGATCACTGGGGAAAAATCCTTCCAAGCCCCTTTATGGAAAATAAGGCCTTGGACTGTAAATGCAAAGCCCAGCAAACAACAACCCTCAGTAATGAGCCAATACCCCACGGCCCATTTGACTAGGAGAAAGAATTTGCTTTTTACCATTCAATTCAAAAAGACTGAAAAAGTAAGATGTGTTTTTACTTGGCTCTGAGGGTTTATATTCTTTACAGTTTCTTTTGCACAACCTTTCCCTCCCCAAGTCGGATGGGCAGCGGGTGCCCCTGTGCTTGCGGGGCTGCTGGCTTCAGCATGGAGCTGGGCGAGCAGCACCAGCTTCACGCTTCCCCGCAGCACACGTGGTTGGTGGCGGTGGGAGAGCCACCAGCATCCCTACGCAGCCCCCAGCCTGTTCATAGTGACGGGGTGACCCTTGGAGACATCGCTGGGTGCTGGCGTTAATGGGAGCCCTCTGCACAGAGCTGAATCCTGCTCCCAAGGAGCACAGAGGGGGTTGACAGTGACAACTCTGCCTTGGGGAAAGCTGACAGCGGTAAGAGAACCTGTCCTGAGGATTTCTACTGGAGCCCCTAGAAATCCCAACCCGTCGCTCAGCTCACAGACATCTGATGATGTTTCCCTCAGTGTGAACTCTGAGTGTGCCACTTGTTACATTTCCAACAGCATCCTAAAGCCTTAACTCGCAAAGGTGTCTTAAGAGTACGAGGAGGGTTAAGCACCACTTCAACACATTATCAACCCCCAGCTACAGGCTGAAGGTGTGGGGGGAAACCCAGGGGACCACCGAGGTTGCTCCCTACCCGACTGCTTCAACCCTGTCTAAAGTGTCAATGCCAATACGTACTTAAGCCTAAACCAAGGAGAAGTGGGGACGCTTCGCTTCTGGCACTTCCCACCCCTACAACCAGCCCAGGCTGCTCCCTTCCTCCCGCACACCGACCTCAACTGCTCTGACCAAGTCGCCGAGATGTTGCCCCATAAATCAATTCCTTTGGCTGTGAAAAATGAGCCAAACGAGTTACACTAGGAATCTGGTGTTTTATTAGGACTTTCTTGAAAACAAAACCAACCCCCGGTGTGATTTATAGCTTTAACCAAAAGGGGTATGAAAGTAATGCCCCCACCCCCCAGCCACCACGAAGCACATTTATTCCCCTGTCACTTTTTTGGCAAACAGGCTTCAAACCCTTTCCTGAACAATGGAAACTTTCTGCCGGGTACATGCAACCCCGAAACGGGGGACTGCGAGGGGGCTGCCTTCCATTAAAGAGCTTTGAAAAGTAAACAGGGACTCAGGTAGCAGCTGAGGCGTATCAGAGACACGTTTCAAACCCACCGTGTATCATTAAGAAAGCCCCAACAGCAAACTAAACAGCTTTTGTCCGACGTGTCAACTTTCCTTCACTTGCAACCGCAGCGCTGCCACTCGAGGGGGGACCTTCGCTGGCTCCCCCGAAATTCTGTTCCCTCCTCAGCGCAACCGCAGTTACTAAGCTGCGATCCAGCGTGTGCCCGCCTGGAGCCGGCGCAACTCGTGTTGCTCCTAAAACTTAGCTATAAACGACTCTTCCTCACTTCTCCCACCCAAGCACACAAACTCCCGGAGCACTTCGGATGTGCGCCGAAGATGTGCGCTACGGAGGCATCCTTCCTTCCCCAGTCGCAGCCATGGGTCCCACCGGGGGTGCTGCATGCACTGCCACGGCGGGGAGAGAGCTCAAGGGAGACAGGCAGCGTCTTAAAAGCAGTTCTTCCCTCCCGGGCTCCTCTGCGGCTTGCCCGAGCCGCGGGGAGAGGAGAAGAACCCGGCCCGCCCGGCTGCCTCCTCCCGCGTCCCGAACTCCCTCTCCAAGACGGCTCCGGCGGTTCGCACCCGCCCCGCTCCGCACTCCGATAAGGAGGCTCGTAGAGTTAAACCGATCCGCAGCGCGGAGCACGTGTGCGCGGCCGCGCAGGCTGCCTTACCTGCCGGCTGCCCGCCGCTCCTCTCCGCCACCGCTCCGCCGGCCCGCCTCCCCGCCGGCATCCCTGCGACGGCCGCCGCCAGGCACAGGCACCAGACGGAGCCCCAGGCCGCCCGCATGCCTCCGGCGCGGCGCCGGGGCAGCGCACCGCCCGCCTCAGACATCCCGCGGCCGCATGCTGCCGCCGCTCACCGCTCCGCTCCGCCGCCGCGCTGCCAGGAGAGGGAAAGAGGCGCTTAGGGGAGGGGAGGACGAAACCGCCCCGCCCCTGGTGCCGACACGGAGAAGGGGGGAAAATGAGAGTAAAAAGGAAAAATAGTAGTAAAAAAGGAGGGGAAAAAGTGGTGGATGGAGTAAAAACGCGCGGGGGGCCGCGCTGAGTGCGGGCGCCTACCTGCGCAAGCCCCGCGGCACCGCGCATGGAGGGAGCGAGCGCCCCCGGCCACAGGAGCCCCGTCCGCCGCCCTCCCGCCCGTCCGTCCACCCTCCGCCGCGGCTCTCCTGCGTCTGCTCGGAGCGGCGCGGGCGCGGAGCGGGGCGGCCGCGATGTCTCCGCCCGCCGGGCCGGGCCGCCCGCCCCACCGCCCCGGCCCGCCCCGCCCCGCCGCCGCCGCCGCGGGGGGCCGCGCCCGCCGCCCGCTCCGCTCCGCGCCCGGCCCCCGGGGCTGCGGGGGGGATGAACGGGGCTCCGATGGGAGGGGGAAGGAGGCGGCCGGGCCGCTGAGCTCTCCCGCCAAGCGCTCGGGGTGAGGCAGGCGCCCTTTTCCCATAGACGTGAGTTGAAGTTGGCTCAACCTCCCGGCAGCGCTCCCGTGGTGGCACCCGTGCGGTTCCTTTCTCTGGCCCTGGAAGTGCGCGGTTTCTGTGACGAGGCGGTGGGAAGGGGCTGGAGGGGGTCCGTGGACCAAACGATGAGCAGCGAACGCTTCGGCTCAGTCTGAGGACTTGCACAGACAACACGCAATGCATCCTCTCCCCCTGCATGGTTGCCATCCTGTACCCCGACACGAAGCCACCTGTAACCTGATTAGAGGTGTCCCCCCTGGCTTCACGCACCAAACCCCAGAATCACTGTGTTTTGTTGATGGGAATAATCACAGCCTCTGCAGACTCTGCATGTTTCTTGCTTTAATAAAACCTAATTATATGTCACTTGCATTTAGTTATGATTACAATGATCTAGTTATGGTTTGGGATCACAGCTATGGTTTAGGATGGTGTGGTCATCTCAGAGACCCCCTGACACAGCTGAGCTGCCTAAGTGACATGCCTCAGCTCCTGCTGACAGACGATCCGAGCGGCTTCGCAAGGAGAACTCACAGCTCTGCTTTAATCCCCCTTGACGCAACAGCTCATTCGCCGAAAATAGATGCAAATATTAGCAGAGCTGAAAATGCTCTGCACAGGGGGCCCCAAAACCCCAACCTGCGTAAGAGCCAAGCTGAGGTTGTTCGGGTCAGAGGAAAAGCCGGGGCACTGCGGAGGTTTGGCATAAGTGAGGGATACCACGGGGAACCGCTGGTGGCCGCTGGGGAGGGCTCAGTTTGTGCTGTTGTCCCTGGGACCGGGATCTGTCTTGATACCTTTATCAGGCACAGAGGCTCTGACATCTCAATACTGTCGCATTGTGTGAGGAAGCATTGAGACGGGGCTGCGGCGAGGAAATCCTACATGTCAGCAGAGACCCTCGCCAGTGACACCATCGGTTTAAATGAAAACAATGGGGAGAGACGCAGACAGAGAAATAAAATGTGGTTATTTCACCGTCGCAGAGGCGGCTTGGCAGCGTGTCAGGCTGCGAGATGTTTGCTCTCACAACTGCTGCGCTGGAGGTGCCAGCAAATCGATACAAATAAAAACAACAGCAGCATCCTTAGAACACTGCATGAGAAGCCACTGCCATCGTTGACTTTTGGCAAAAGCATGGCCAAATTCTGATCTCATGTAAAGTCAGCAGGGTAAGAGCAACACCCATTATTGTTACTATTCTGAGCCCCATTCTCCAAAAGGAGAGCACCAAAGGAGCATCGGGAGCTTCCCTAAGCCCTAAAATACAAACCAAAGTGAGAATTCAGGGTGGTTTCTCACACAGTGACTGCATTTCAGAAGCGCTGCAGTGACTGTTCCTCCAGGTCAAGCGAAGGCAAACACCTTCATGGTGCTCCTGGAGTGGGGTAATAGGATGGAAACAGCTGATCCCAACCCAGGGAGCTTTAAGGTTGCTGGGAGATGTAAAGGTCTGCATCTCAGATCGAGTCAGCTCAGCCCTTTAACGGTTTTGAACTGGTTTTCATTTGGAGGAAAACTAAAAGCTTATAACATTTGGAAGCCCTTTGCAACAGGAAATCAAAGGGGTATTGAGATAGTCCTGTGTGAAGGACTTCAAGGTTCGCAGTTTTCCCTAGAGTGGGATATTTTTAGGTTTCCCGTTTATTAACCTCTAGCGCAGCACACTCATGTGAGGCTGGGGAGCACAGACCCGATTAAGCACACGTTTGCTGAAGCTGCTTCGTCATTGCAGTGGCCACCGAGGCAGAGCCTGGGATGTAGGGCTGTGCAGCAAAAACTACGGCTCTGGACTGTGTCTCAGCCACTTTCTTACCATAAAAAAAAAATAATCCATGTCTGAAGCCTACTAAAGCCTGCACAACACAACTGCATGTATTTTAGGACTGTTATGCCATAAGCCGCATATTAGCCCCTAAGTTTTCCTTCCCCCCTCAAGCTAGGAACATGCCCTCGCCTTCACACAGGGATACTCTGCCAATGTGTTTGTTCTCCTTTTTTACCCTTTATAAACATTCTCTTCCCAGAACTTTGTATTTGTTTATCCCTTTAATACCCAGAGCTGTCAGTGATGAAAATCAAACCCCTTTCGGCAACTCACGGATGATGAGCCGCTGCCTTTTTCTGAGCTAGGGGCTGAAATACGGTGTGGCCAGCAGTGTGCTTGATGTCCAAGCCTGTCCCTGTCATGCTCCCACAGCTCCTCCATAAGCCTGGATCACACTAAGGGCTTGGCCACCAAGGGCGGCTGTCCTAGGGAGGTTTAGGGGGAGATCCTTGTAGGACCTGTTGGCATTGGCGTGGCTAAGCCCCCACTTTCCCTTCATGCCTCTTCAAAGCCCTGCCTAGGAGAAGCTCCCAATCTCTCCCTCTAGAAATGAAACCTTCTGATAGTCTCAAAATAAGTTTAACAGGATGCTGTCAGCAAAATCAGCTCCAGGTCTGAGTGGCTTGAGCAGTCCCTTTACCTTTCCTTCCATAAGATGGGCATGGGACAGGCTATGAGATGCCTGTCCAAATGCCCTCTGGGATGAGGCTTCTTGTGAGTCACCTTTGATGATATTGCTGGAGGAGAGCGTGGGATGAGATGGGATGTGGTGGCACAAGCTGCTTCCTTTCCCGTGCCATGTCTCCAGTGCATTGTTGTAAGGTGTTCCCCTGCACTTTGTGCTGTCGTATTTAGCAAGGCAGACAGCAGAGCAGAGGGATCACTCTGAGCTAACCCTGTGCTGGGCCTGAGAAGGACCTTGCAAAAGAGATACTGGGGACTGGTACCCCCACACTCCCAAAACTCGCTTCTTTGACAGGCAGAAAGCAACTCCTGAATCAATACTGAGTTGAAGCAAAGCAATGAAGTACTTAAAACTTTCATTTAAGTTTTAATATGCTGGCAAGTTTGATCAGAGGTGTGGTCACATGAGTCTCTGAATCATATCAGGTTAGGTACACAGAATAAATATCGCCAAATATTCCTTATCAGCACTGGGGCTTGTTAACTGACCTGTATGCCAGAGCGAGTGCTGCAGCCCCACAGTGCTGTATCGAGCTGTCACTCCAACCCAACAGACCATGACATGAGACTGAATTAAAACACTGGTTCAGACACCAATATCAGTGTGCAGGAGTAGGAGCTCAAGCTGTCCACCCTTAGCATCCAAGGGTTAAATAGCATCAGTGGATGTAGACACTGGGGTATGTTTTCCAGAGCTCGTGTCACCATCCATTTATATCAGTAAGGTGCATGGGAATGGCTAAACCGTTTTTTATTAGCTAGCCAGCCCAAAGGACTGTGATTCCAGGCAGGTTTATTGAATTTCAAGCTGAAAAGTCGTTGTTGCTAAGATTAAGGATCCAAATGATTGTCAGGGTAAACACTGGGAGAGGTTAAGCCAGCCTGTGAAGACTCTCTCTATGCCTGCACCCTCTGTGAGCTGATTGCAACACAACCTTCATCCTATGGGATTTGTTTCCCACCAAACAGAACGGACACATGAGGAATAGAGGGCTCTGGAAGGGTAAGTTGTTTGATTTGCAGGGAAAAGAGAAGGAATGAGTGTGCTGGAGAGACATACAGCAAGCCTCTTCTGCAGGAGCTGTGCATGGGGAGGTGCTGGTAGAGGTAAAATAAGTCATCAACTTGAAGAGCAAAGCAAATGATGGGAGAAAGTGCAGAGAAAAAAAACAAACCCAAAGCAAAACAACAAGCCTGTGGAGGGTGTGAGAAGCAAAGATTTAAAATCAGAGCTCGAAATAATGCTGACTCAGCACATCTGCTGCATGCGGGGACTGCGCTGGGGTCACAGTGGCTCCCCGAGGTGCCACTGACCGCCAATGCAGGCTGGGTGTGCCCTGTCTTTGGAGTAAAGCAAGACAATGCTCCAGAGCATGGGGAGGAGAAGGCAAGAAATCGTTTCTGCCTGCCAGAACTACTCATGCCATCACCACTAGGACACTTCAAATGAGCTGGAGCACTGCAACTGTGGGTGTAGGAGGACACTTTACTTTGGGGGGCTGTTTGAAATGAAGCCACAACATGTTTAATCCCCCAGCAGCCTGTGCACACTGGTGCCTGTGAGGAGAAACCACGCACTGCCAAAATGAGCTTCTGGGAGCTCAATGACCATACTCAAAGTCCTCTCTCCTGGATATGAGCACAGACCCCTATAGGACACTGTCTGCCTATCACTGCCTGCCCACCCTGGCTGCCCACCTGCAGCAGGAGGTATGGAAACACCCCTTGTATCCAAACCTTTGGAAATATCACACACTGGGCTCTTCCCCAAGTCCTGGCCATGCTGTATAGCCTGGTGGCCATATTCTCCAGGGGCTTTTCCCTTGCTCTGCCCCACTCGAAGGCAGGGGAAGGGATGTGTATTGAGCAGCATGAGAGCTTTCAGAATAAGCAGCCGTATCCTAAAATAAATGT